CGCACGTGTCCACGCTCGTGCACACACGTGTCCATACACACAGATGCTCGTGCCCGTGTTCACACTTGTGTGCGCACACACTCACATGCACGTGTCCACGCTCGTGCACACATGTGTCCAAACTTGTGCACACACACGTGTCTATACACATGGACGCTCATGCACAAGCACACACACACGTGTCTATACACACAGACGCACATACAAATACATGTCCACACTCATGCACACACGTGTCTATACACATGGAATCACATGCAAACACATCCACTCTCACTCACATGCACGTGTCTACACACACGGACACTCACGCACACGTGTCCCTCCTCGTGCACACGCATGTGTCTGTGCACGTGGATGCACACACAAACATCTGTGCACACACATACATAACATGCACACGTGCACACACACACGCAGCCAGGGAGGGGCTGCCGGCTCCCACCAAGCTGCAGTCCCCACGTACCCTGGGGGTGGCTGGCCGTAAGTACCAGGATGGGTTGCCTGCACTTGGCTTTGAGCAGCAATACCAGGCAGCGGGGAACCCCGGCTCAGGGGCAGGGTCTCAGTCAGCAGGCATGTGTGCCCCCGCCAGCGGGCAAGCTCATGGTCAGGGAAAGGTGCTTCCAGGATGGGCAGAGATACTGGAGAGGTCAACACCGACCTCAGCCCCCCACTGTAGCCCAACCTGAGCCCAAATTCATGCAAGAGCCCAGACCACAGTGGCTGTCCCACCCTCCCTCAGGACGCTCAGCCCTGTTGTGGGGACAGGTGGGGTCTCCGAGCTCCAGTCCCATTCTGTCCCTGGCCCTGCCCCGGGGCCACATGGCGCAACCCCAGCCCCCACCTGTTGACCCCCACCAGCCCTGAGCTTTGCCCGTGGCTCCTAAGGTGTTAACAGTGACCGTCATCCACGTGCACCTCCTGCCAAGCAGGGACCAGAGTGCTCTTTGGGTAACCACAGCAGACTCATCCTGAGCACCAGCACTGCCAGCTCCTGGGGCTACGAGGTCAGTTAGGAGCCCAAGAGCCTTCCTGCTGGTCTCACGAATTTGGCGGTGCTTTACTGTGTGACAACCGTGTGCACGGTTGCCTCCCTGCCTCCCTGACTGCCCACATCCCTCCAGCCGAGGATGAGAGCTGAACCAGTGCAGCCCCCCTGTCATCTAGTGACGACGGTACACGGGCCAGGCACAAAGGGAGGCAAGAAGGAAAGGTGACGCCCCACCTGCCTCACCCAGCTTCCCGAGTGGCGGGGGCACGGCCAGCCTCAGTCCACAGAAAGGGGTGCTGCTGCCCCCCCTCAACCCCCACTGGATCCACAGGACTCACCCCACAGCAGCCTTGTGAACGGACAGCGGGAGGGAGGCTCCCTTTGAAGGGGAGTGACAGGCCTCCTGGTGGCCTGGGGCCAGCTCTGGTGCCCCCCCGGCACTCCTCCAGCCAACCCAGGGCTCAGGATGACAGGGCTGTGATCAGCGCCCCAGCCAGGGTCAGCGTCCAGACTGCACCTTTTATGAGCACCCATGCTCCCCAACCCAGGACAGAAACCAGAGGCCACATTAACACCCCCACGCCATCTGTCTTGTCCCCAGGCCAGACCCCCCTCCCAAGGAACCTGCAGACCAGGGCACACCCCCTACATGGGCTCAGCCTCAGAACTCACCTCCTAGCAGGGACACGAGCCCCCCATGGAGCCACACCGGATGAGCCTGTTCCCAAGGAGCCCCCACAGGATGCCCCCAAGGGACCAGCAGGCCTTTGAGACAGGGACTCTCCCTACAGGCGGTACCAGAGAAGGGACAGCAGACCCCCAACACGGGCACTGTCAGACCCTGCGTGGCGGTGGGCAGTGGGCAGGGCTGGGCAGCCTCCTGGACAGCTGCAGCATGGTGTCCCCATCCCGGATGGGCCTGGCCCCAGCAGGTGCTGGAATGTGAGGCCCCTGCCCGGCCTTTGGAAGTCAGTGGGGCCTCTGCACAGGCCAAGTGGCCTCAGCTGCACCCCTGGGTGGGAGCCAGCCAGGTGGGGCTGTCGTGACAAGTCCATAGGGGCAGTAAGCAAGGCTGGCAGTGGTCCCCAGGCAGCAGGGTGCAAGTACCCGGGCATTTCACCCAGCAGGCCAGGCCAGGGCCGATCGGAGCTCAGGGGTGGCAGCACGGCCCTGTACTTACGGGTAGACTTCCCGTGGGTTTTCTCGCAGTTCGGGCAGTGGTATATGTCGATGTCTGGGGCCTCCTCCTCTTCTACTCCCACACAGCTGAAACGGAGGAAGCACAGATGTTGCAAGTCCCCGGGGCCTTCCCCTGTGGGACCCGGGCAGCTCCTGTCCACCTCTCAGGAGGCGGGCAGCATGCACACAGGCGGAACAGGACAGGAGCCAGGACAGCGGCCCCCAAGGACAGGAGGGGGCGTGAGCAGGGGGTTAGGGAGGGGCAAGGAAGGCCTTGCTGTGCGTGACCAGGCTACGCAGAGGGACGGGCCGTCCCACAGGCCCGCCTGCAGGACAGCCACCACTGTCCTGTCACCACAGAGCCGGGGGGCCAAGGGGGTCTCGGAGGGGGCTGCCCCCACCACGTCACCACGGGCAGCTTAGAGCTACGGGTCGGGCCCTCTGACCCCTAGAGGGACTGCCATCCCAGGGGGCCTTACCACAGTGCCGGGACGACAGGATATCAAAAGAGTGAAGTCGAATCCCTACCTCACATCATATACAAAATGTAACTAAAATTAACTAAAAATGGATCAACCACCTAAATATAAGGCCTAAGGCTATAAGACGGTAAGAAGAGGACACAGGAGCACATCTTCATGACCCTGGATTTGGGCATGGATTCCCAGATAGGACACCGAAAGCACAAGCAACAAAAGAAAAATTAAATTGTGTATCATCAAAACCTTTGCTCACTAAAGGACACTAGGAAGAAAGTGAAAAGACAACATGGAGAACGGGAGGGAGTATTTGCAAGTCACATTTCCGATGAGGGCCCAGTGTCTGGAACACACACGGAGCTTCACAGCTCGAGGACAGGGAGACACACAAATCAGCTTTTAAACGGCCAAAGGCCTTGAACAGACACTTCTCTCAGGATGAGGTACAAACAGCCAACAAGCTCAGGAAAGATGCTCAACATTCTTAGTCGTGTGGATGTCACTGGAAGGCACATCCAAACCAACGAGATACCACCCCACACCCGCTAGGATGGCTACAGTTTTTACAGGAAAACACCACCAGGAAAATTGCAAGTGCTGGCCAGGATGAGGGAAACGAGAGCCCTCTTCCATCGCTGGTGAGAATGTGTAAAAGTGGACAGTTTCTATGGAAATAGTCTGACGGCTCCTCAGTAAGTTAAACAGAGACTTACCCGATGACCCCGCAATCCCACTCAGGGCATGTGCGCCCCGAAGAATGCAGAGCAGGGCCTCCGACAAATCCCGCACACAAGTGTTCACAGCAACATCAGCCCCGATAACTAAAAGACGGAAACCACCCAACGTCCACCAGCTGACGGGTGGACAAACCAACTCTGGTGCATCCATGCAACGGAGCAGTCCCCAGCCTCAACAGGGAAGGGGCCGACACCTGCTACAGCACGATGGACCCCAGACACACAAGGTCACATACTGCAGGATTCCATTCACGCAAAATGCACAGACAGAGGACCCTCTGCCGGTGCCAAGGGCTGTGGGAGGGGAGCGGGCAGTGACTGCTGAGCGGGCGTGGGGTCTCCTTCTGGGGTAAAATGTTCTGGAACCGGATAGAGGCCATGCTTGCACAACAGCGTGAAGGTACTAAATGCCAACGAAGTGCTCACTTTAAGATGGTTAGTTTTATGTTACGTGAATTTTCTCTCAATCAAAGACAAGGAACGTGCCTCGTGACGGGGACACCCGTCCCCCACCACTGACCCCGTCCTCGCTGAGGCTGGCCGAGCGCTCGTTCCGCCTGCGGCAGCATCAGGGCCCCTACGTGAATCTTCCGGCAACAGCCCTGCAGTAATGGGAGGGTCACCACGCGCCTGTCGTACGCGGTGAGCCGCTTGCCCGGACCCCAAGCGCCTCCTCCCTGTGTGCCCTGGTCCCCTGGCCAGGGTCCGCCACCGCAGCTCCAGGCCCCTCGATGGACCACCGGCTGCCATGGCTGCCACGTGCCACGGTCCCAGGAGCAGAGCCGGAGCCCACAAAGCCCCCGACACATGCTTTTGAAAATAGGAAGTTCACTCTTCATCTCAGAGCAAACACCGAACCAAAGTGCAGGCAGTCTGAAGAGTCGGATGTAAAAGACAAAGCCATCAGAAGCAGACTGTGAGGGCGTATTCATCTGCTCTCACGAGGCAAAGTGACTTTCTAAACAAGCAAAGAATTGCAAAGGAAATCAGAGAGAACACTGACTGAAACAGGACTCCCATCCGACAGCCAACTTTGAAGTGCCAGCTTCGGAAAACATTTACAGCAAGTATGGGAGCGTTCCTACCCTCCCACCAGGAACCGTGCATGAAGGGCATTTCCTCCAAGAAAGCACAGGGCAGACCCCAAACAGCCCAGGGCTACAGAGAAAGATGCCCCACCCCACTAGCCACCCAGAAAGGGGAGCTAGAACCACATTACTCCCATCAGTCACCCGGCAAATTCACCAAACCAGACACGCTGAGCTGGTAACGCTGCAGGTGGGAGGCACAGTAAGGACAGCAAATGGCCAGATCACCACTGGTCTGTCTCCACAGCAGCCCCCTTCCCCACCAGAGCCCCGAGGTCCCCTCCCACCAGCAGCCTGCTCCCTCCTGTGTCCTCAACACCCCCCACCCAGCTCCTCCCCACCCTCAAGGAGGAGTAGCTGCTCACCCAGCCCCTTCCCAATCCCCACCCCCCGGGCTGGTGTACCTGCCTGAGCCCTCTGCTCCCTCCCTCCCAGCCCCCAACACCCCTGCCTTCCACAGAAAGGACCCTGCACTGTGGGCCTGCTCTGCACCCGGCCCTGCTCTGCACCCCGCGTCTGCTCTGCACCACGGGTCTGTTCTACACCCTGTGTCTGCTCTGCACCCCGCGTCTGCTCTGCACCCCGGCCCTGCTCTGCACCTCGCGTCTGCTCTGCATCCCGGCCCTGCTCTGCACCCCGCGTCTGCTCTCACCCCACGTCTGCTCTGCACCCCGGCCCTGCTCTGCACCCCGCGTCTGCTCTGCACCCCGGGTCTGCTCTGCACCCTGCGTCTGCTCTACACCCCGCGTCTGCTCCGCACCCCGGCCCTGCTCTGCACCCGTCTGCTCTGCACCCCGGGTCGGCTCTGCACCCCGCGTCTGCTCTGCACCCCGGGTCTGCTCTGCACCCTGCGTCTGCTCTACACCCCGCGTCTGCTCTGCACCCCGGCCCTGCTCTGCACCCGTCTGCTCTGCACCACGGGTCTGCTCTGCACCCCGCGTCTGCTCTGCACCCCGCGTCTGCTCCGCACCCCGGCCCTGCTCTGCACCCCGCGTCTGCTCTGCACCCCGGCCCTGCTCTGCACCCCACGTCTGCTCTGCACCACGGGTCGGCTCTGCACCCCGCATCTGCTCTGCACCCCGGGTCTG